TGAAGGTGGCTCCGACGGCGCTTTGCACAGCCCTTCCTTGTGGATATAGCTAGGAAGGACAAACTGAAATCTGAAATAATGCTCGCACTGGGGATAAAGCAAGCCGTAATGATGACCACGCCTCACTGACACCTCACTTTTTCCCTGTCCCGCTTTATTGATACATCAATTCCCATTTTTCACGGTTGACTTCTGGTAGGTCCCTTTGGAAACTATATCTAGAATCCTCACTGGGTCCCTCTGCATCCTCTTTAGTACCTGCAACTCATACCAACAGGTAATAAATAAATGCCATTATCGTGCTCATTTCTGCTTCTCACAGGCAAATACAAGTGTCCAGCAGGACCATATCAAATGCTGAAACCCACGATCCCAACCGGTCAACCTAAACCACCTGGACACACACTGTTGATGAATCCCTGTCCCTGTGGCTGCATCTGATTGTTGTTAATCTATTGAAAATACGTGGCTTTCTTCTTCTCCATACTAATCTGAATCCATTCTGTAAGATTTCATGAGACACTCTAACAGCTTCCTAATATCTACGTAGTATTGCCTTCTGGACTCAATTCTGCAATGTGTTTGCAAATGCTATTATACTTGTCAGGCATGGTTTCCTCTCAATGATCTCATAGCTTTTTAATTTGTTTATTGGAATGCCGTGACCCTCGATTTGTTTTATTCTTTGCTTGTTTATCGAGGGCACAAAGTATCTTTTCCCCCACAGCCCCAGAGCGCTGTGTACTTGATTTCTAGCTTAGGGAACAGTACCGGAGAGAGCCCAAAAGCCAGGAAGGCTGGACACGGAAGGTGCAGGAAGGGAAACAGAATACATCCAAATACCGTGTCCTTCTGCAATACGTAACCGTTTGTGTTTTATCAACAGTTCTAAGTCAGAGGGTAAAATAGGCTTAAAAGTAAGCATTCCCTATTTAAATCCTTGAATGGCCAGATTTACTAGTGTCATCTGTTGGCAAATTTCATTGGCAATCTCTTTGTAAAAACAGTTGCAGGGAATCAAGCCCCTAAAAAGAAGAAAAGGAAGAAAACTGGGTGGGCACAGTGGCTCATGCCTGTAATCTCAACAGTTTGGGAGGCCGAGGCGGCAGATCACCTGAGGTCAGGAGTTCAAGACCAGCCTGACCAACATGGTGAAATCCTGTCTCTACTAAAAATACAAAAATTAGCTGGGCATGGTGGCACACACTTTTAATCTCAGCTACTTGGGAGGCTGAGGCAGGAGAATCGCTTGAACCCAGGTGGCAGAGGTTGCAGTGAGCTGAGATTGCACCTGCACTCCAGCCTGGGTGACGGAGTGAGACAAAATCAACACCGAAATCCAGCCATTTCAGGGTCAGTTCACTACTTAGCATAAGACTGATGCCCCACCCCCCACCCCCCGCCTGTGCACATGCACCTGTGCTGAAGTAAGTAACAGACAAGACTCCTCATGGGACGAAGTACCTATTATGTACCAGACGGTCTTCCATTCACTCTGCAAATGGCATCTTATTTGGTCTCCACAAAGTCCAGCGAGACAGCTTTAATTATCCTCGCTTTACAAATGAGAAGCTTGGGATGTGAGAAGGCAAGTGACTTGCCCAAGCTAGTACAGCTGGAAAGAAGCAGAGGCGGGATTCGAACTGAAGACTTCGGAGGCCAAAGCTCATACTCTTTTCTCTAAACCAGGCTGCCTCCTGAGTTAAACTCCCCTGCCCCTTCCCCAGTATGGCTGCCATGAGACTCCACCATCTCTTCACCATCATCAATAAATATTTATCAAGGACCACCACCTACACAGCACTGCTCTTGTTTCCACAGCAACACACTGTCACGGAGTCATGGGAGTATCCCATGCTTGAAAGAGTGACGCTGTAATGTCCTCTGATCATGGCTATGAAAGGTGACAGCTACACTACTACACGGAACACCGTCTCAGCTGGCAGCCTGGCACCTGCCCAAGCTGTGCTGAGGAAAAGCAAGAAGAAATTACATAGAGTAGAAAGAGAGTGGGTTGTAACCCAGGAAGATGGTCTGCTCTTACTATGTGTTTGCGATTGTTGCTGGAAAAGAATGTAAGCCAGGTTTGCACATTAATTGTTCTTTTATTAGGAAACAAATCAAGCAATCCATGAGAGAAAGTAAAATTCGACTGTACTGCTAACAGTTCCCCAGAGGTACCTGGCAGTGATTATCGAGTTAAATGACTACATTGATAACAATTGCAATTGCAAGTTCGTCCCCTATAAGATCCATTTTTGCCCTCAATATATGGATTCTTAAACCCACTAGTAAATGAACTAATTATCCCTTTATTCATTTAACTGTCTCTCTCTTCCCCCATCCTAAATCGTATTTTGCCACATTGTTACAAGGCTGTTTTAAAATGTTTTTTGTTTGTTTTTTGCTATCACTCCTTACAAAAACTGTCATGGCTCAGGAAATATGCCTTAGAGTAAGGAAAAAGGAAATTGCCTTTTGATGACAAGCTTTTGCCCCTGACTTTTGGGCACTGTGACCAACATGTTACAGCAAAACACATTAGCACAACTATATCATGGATGTAAGCTTACAAACTGAAATTGCTTTCAAGATTGGGAATTTTCAGATCAAAAGAACATGGAGAGCACATTACTTAGTTTTAAAATGTATTTATCCGAACTCGCCAAAAGTTTTAAATAAAATACTTTAAAGGAAATCTAGTTACTGTCATATTTACACTAGAATTGAAATTCGAAGAATTTCTGAATTTAGGAATAAAATAGGTCCATTTTTTAAGTCAACGTTTACAGTATTGTTTTGACAAATACAGATGTTCATGAGAAACCCCGGAAAAAAAAATTAATCCAATTTAGATGGTCTAGTTGCTGTTAAACTGGAAAGGAGAGTACAGACATATACAGAAAATCCCCATTTCTACAAATGCATAAGGCTTAGAATGCACCAAATATCCAATACAAGCTAATCCCATTCGCTGAAGGGGCCCCTGGCACAAAGGCAGCCACCTGCTAAATATATGCTATGTAGTGGGTTTGCAGAAGCCACTCTGCCCAGGTAGACCCAAAAGAAATACACAGTGCCTTAACAGATTTCTTCCCAAACCGTATTCCAGGATTTCTTTTCTTTCTCCTGCGTTCTGAAGAGTAAACAAAGAAAAGGTGCTCGCTCCTCACACTTCTCTAAGTGTTTTAACAAAAGGCTGCTGAATAAACACATTACTCATTTAAAAATTGAAAAGTTCTATTCCTGATGTGAAAGCAACCAGATTTGCATTTTAATAGTTGTGAGCGAGCGCCACCTGGCGGGAGCATCCGGAACGGGCGGCGTTCAGCACTGGACAGCTTCCCGAGCCGGTACGGGTTTTACCGCTTGCTACCCAAGAACGGTATGAGACCCGTGATGGAATATTTTTGATCCTGTTTCTGCCGCGAGAACGTGAGTGGTATTAATGTGCGGTTGGCCGGTCATGTCTTAGAGGATATAAAATCTGAGTCATGAGTCATGCCTGGGTCCCCAGGAGTGCCCCGGGCATCCTCCCTAGCACCCCTCCCTCCCTAGCACACCTAACGCACACCCCAAAATGAGGAAAACAAGAATTGTGCACCATCTTTAGAATGGTGCCGTGGCTATCCCTCTTCTCTCACTTGCCAATCCAACCTTTCAGCTTCACACACCTCAAAAGGAGTGTCTTCGTCACCCAACAACTTCCCCAGCCAGAGAAACAGGCTATTCCTTCGTAAAAGTCGCCTATTCCGTTTCCATTTTAGTACCAAGCAAGGAAGGCTCTAACGCATTTCCAACGGAATGTCCCTCCAGCGGCTCTTAGCCTCAGACGCAGCCTGTGCAAAGACGTTCTACCTCCCAACAGGTTCGTTCTTCTGCTCTTTCTTTCCTTCTTTCGGTGAAATAATAAAAGGGCACAGCTGTTGCTGAGCGAGCCAAAACGAGCCTGTTCCTGCGTCCCACGGGCTGATCTCAGCCTATCCCCGCGATCCCAGCCACCTGGCCGTGGTTACACCAAAAGCAATCGGTGCTAAGAAACTTCAAGGTGATTTTGAACGTTGAAGTACACCTGCAGCACTCCCTCCCTCTCTCCTTCCGTCCGCCGCTACTCTTGGGGGGCTGGGGCTGGAAACTGCCCGCAGAGGGGCTTGGTGATGTGGAGACCCTGGACCGCGATGCTCTCCAGCACACGCCAGCGTGCCTTTAGGAGCCCGTCAGGGCACCCCTCGCTCCCCTATTCTGGGGAACTACCTCTGCTCACCCCCTTCCCGCGGCCAAACCCAAATAGGAGTCCCCTGAACTTTTCAGGAGCAGACGCGCTCACGGGTCAAATCCACTCCCCTCCAGGGGCCTCAACAAGAAGGGCGCCCAGCTACCCCGGAGAAAAGCTAGCGGGTAGGGCGGAGGTATTGCGGCTCCGTCATCCGCGCACACATCCCCACCCGCGCCTTCGGCCGCTTGCTTAGGGGAGCGACGCGTTCGGAGCCCCTGTCGAGCTTCCAGTATCTCCGAGGAGAGAAGAAAAGCCACCGCCCCGGCAGCCTCGGCCTGCTGGGGGACCTGTCCTCCCCACTAAAAGCGCGCGCTGCCCGAGGAGCTGCCCGGGAGACAACGCTCCACCCTGGGCGTCCGCGCCACTCCTCGTCCCGCCGCCCCAAACACTCAAGTGGCAGATTCCGACAAGTGGGAGGCAGCAAGTGGAGATATTCGCAACAACCGCGGAAAGTTACTCCCGCCCCAGGGGGGCGACAGGAAAGTGAAGCGGAAAACTTCGCCAAACGCGGGCCGCCGAGGGACGCGAGAAGCCGGGCTTGTTGGCCGGGGCGCGCCGGGACGCGGCCTCCTGCGCCTGCAGGCTGAGACCCGGACTCCGGCCATGGGGCCCCGCGCTCCCGCGAGCCCACACAACTTTCTCCTCGAGGGTCCCCGCGGCTGGGGGCCCCGCGTGCATCCGGGAAGGAGCGGGGAGCCCAGGGGAGCCGGGCGGACGCACTCACCTGCGGCACTCTGAGCCCCGGCGCCGGGCAGCGGCGGCAGCTGCAGCCGCAGGAGCAGGCTAAGGGCGAGCGCGGCGAGGCTCGCCATCCGGGCGGCGGGGGCGGCTCAGCCCCTTCCCGCGGGGGCCGGGGCCGGAACTGGGGCGGGAGCGGGGCGGCCCCGCATCGCCGGCGCGGCTGCTGGCTGTGCGCGCGGCTGGCTCCGCTCGGGCTCCTGGAGCCGGCGCCGCTTCGCTCCGAGCCGAGGCGCGGCGCGAACTGAGGCGGGAGGCTGGGCGGGGGCGGGACGCGGGGGGCGGAGGGCGGTGTCCCCCGAGTCCTAACGCCGCCGCCGCCGCCGCCGTCGCCGCCGCCGCCGCCCGCCCGGGCGCTCCGCCTCGGCAGTGCACACACCCTCGCGCGCACGCCCGCGCCTGGCACACGCCCGCGGCTGGCACACGGGCTCCCCCGCGCACCCTCTCCGAGGCCGACTGGCTCGGGCCGCGGGCACAGTCACGCGCGTCCACACATCACCCCCGCACCCGCACCACCGGCAGGGTCCTCGCCTCCGCCCCGCGCCGCGCCGCTCAGCCAAGCACCGTCTGCCCTGTGGGGGCGCAGGTACGGGGGCGGTGCGGGGAGAGGGAGCGGGAGCAGCCGTTTGAACTCCGGGTGGGGAACAGGTGAATGGGGGTTCGGTGGCGAGAGGAGGGAGGGAAGGAGCAGCCCTCTCAACTCTAGATGAGAGGCCAAGTGAATTGCGAAAGGGGGAGGGGCATCTGCCCGAAGCTGGGGCAGGCGGCTGCTGGCCGGGGTCTCCGGCACACCCTGAGATGAGAATTTCATCTAAGACCGCGCGCGCGCGCGCAGACACACACACACACACACACACACACACACACACACACACACACACACCCCAGTCACACTCTTATGGGCGCTTCGAGGACCGCACCACAATCGCCGCCCCCCTCAATTAGCCGCCCCCCCCACCTTGTTCACCCACATCTTTCCCTTGTCCCCACCACCACGCGGGAGGGGGCGCAGACGGGGCATGAGGCATCTCCCCAGCCCCCACAATTTTTCTCTGGCAGCCTTCCCTTTCCTTTTCTAGGGAGACAGAACCACGTAGCTTTTTCCCTTTTCTTCTAGGTCTTAACAAAGGCCTGGTTGGTGCTGAAAGCCTAAAACCATAGATCAGAGTTAGAGCTGTCCCTCTCAGTCCGAAGCCCACAGCCTGGCTCTCTGCTGTCCTGAGGCAGCTGGCACCTGAGTCTCGGCTGGGTGTCCGAGATGTAAAAGCCAAGGGCGAGGACATCCAAAAATGCTTAAGGGATTCACACTTTGTGAACACTTTGCTCCCTGGCCAAAGCCCTCCCTCCTGTGTCAGCACGGCCCCCTACCCCCATCCTTGTTGGGGTTCCAGGGACTGGATTGGGCAGACTGTAGGGGAATTGTGAAAATCAAGCATGGTCAGAGTTCCAAAAGTGGGGAGCTCCAGGCTCTGGACCCAAGTTGTCATGGCAAAGAACACAGGGCCTCACTGTGTCAGTCCCCAGGCCCCACTAGGTGGAGTGGGACAGTTCCCTTAAATGGAAACCCAATTACTCCTCCTACCCCACGCTTGCAATCCCAGGGAAATTCTTCCACCCCTCTCCGGACCACTTCCCACCATCACCACCATGACCATGACCACTTTCAAAAGGTGAAGTGCTTGGACTAGCCTGTTTGACCAACTACCAGGAAGGTTTCTCCAAGTCCCCTTCCCAGACTCCTGCTGGGGAGAGTGGGGGTGGCCTGGGAGTTGATCCTTTTACAAGCTGCCTTGGATATTAAGAATTCTACCAATATGTCGTACTTAAATTGTGTGCCTCACTCTGTGCTGTTCTCTGGGGACACCACAATGCACAGCCTTTGGGACAGGTGGAATGGAAACATCCCTTCTGCTCAGAGCTGAGCGGTCAGCTGTTGGCTCCATCGCTCACTCAATCTAACCCTGCCTTGGAGGAGAGCTCTGACCCAAGACCGCCCCCTCTTCGACCCCAGTCATGGCTGACCCCAGTCATGGCTGACCCCAGGGGCTGGCCCAGGTGGGAAGGAGATTTCTAAGCCACTAAAGAGCTTGCTGCCACACTTGTAACGTGTCCCGACTTCCTTGAACTCCTGCCAATTCATCCCCTCTCTCAAGCTTTCTGGAAAACTATAAAATAGCAGTTCTCACAGCATCTTCAGAGCACACACCCTTCAGCACCCTCCCCGCAACCTTCACACCCTGCCTTAGGGATGCGATATCACTGCAGGCAAATCCCCCAGGTCTGAATGGAGTTCATGCGGCCCCAAGGAAAAAAAAAAAAAAAACATTTCAGTAGTCACTGAGCTGGTGGAGTGGGAACTGATCCCGGCACCAGGACTTACCTGCCCAGGTGCACCATGGTTATGAACTGTTACCCTCTGTGCTTTCTGAACCTCCCTCCACGCCTAGAAACTGCCCGTTCTTTCCTTCAGTAGCACGTGCTGCCACCTGCTGCCCAGCAGGGCTCTGGCACCCGTCACACTGCCACGCTTTTGCACGGCCAGTCCCTCTGCCTGGAAGCCCTGCACTGCACCCTCTCCTCTCCCCAGGAAACTACACTGGTCCTTAGGGCCACTCTTTGGAACTTTGGCCGGCGGGCCCTTCCTGCTCAAGGCGTGTTCCCCAGCGCGGGCCACTGGCATGGTGCTTTTTACATTGTGGGGATGTTGTCTCCTCTTCATCTGTTCTGCAAGACTTGGGTTCCTAAAGGGGACCTGGACGCTTACCACAGGGCTGCTAGGAGATGCGGGCTTGGGGTGGAGAGAGAGGGCTGGTACACGGACAAAGCCGCCTTACACAAAGCTTCCGGCTAGCTGGCTTCTCAGGGGAGGGAACTCATGGAAAGTTACAGCATCGTCTCCCATCCTCCCACACAGGGAGCCCTCTCTCCCATCTGACCCCATCAGCCCGGGGAGCTAGGACATGACCACAGATGTGCTTGGCTCGGGGCTGGGCTCAGCATCGCATCAGCAATGAAGGAAGGAGGCAGGGTGAGCTTTGTGAGAGATGGCATTCTGCCCTACAAACTCTTTTAGTTATGCTCAGCTAGCAGGCCTCTTCAGAGTCACTCTGCCCTTAACCCCATGAAACCTTTGGCAAGACCTCTCTGCGCGTCAGTTTCCATATCTGCCCAGTGGCTTCCCTTTCAGCTCTGGCAGGGACCAAGACGAGTGTGCAGACATTTCGACTACAGATCTCTATGTCTAGCACAGTTTCAGAGGAAACCTGAAACTTGAGGCATCCTTTCAACAGGTGTGCTGGCCTTTTGATGTGTGTGTCAGGGATCTCAGGGCTGTGGGTTTGCAGCCTAAACAACAGCAGCCGTCATTGCCGTCATGGAGCTTACAATCTGGCAGAGTAAAGACCCAGAGCTGGTCCCCATCTCCCCAGCCCTGCCTCGCCCCCAGTGGTCAGCCCTCCAGTAGAGACCAGAGCACGAGGAGGAAGACACCTGCTGGGGCCACGTGCCTTACTAATGAGATTTCCCAACCACATATCTAGTAGAGTGTATTCTGTGTTAAAGTATCAAAGTCCAATGAGAAACATCCAGTGATGTCACTATTGTTTGATCTCCATCGTACACATGAGGACCCTGAGGCTCAAGAAGGGCAAAGACTCCACGTAGGAAGGTGGGAAGGGTCACTTCCTGCGATGGGGGTGGCTGCTCCACTGGAGCCTCTGTCTTCTTGCTGTAGCATTGATGGCCACTAGCCATTTAAATTTAAAATTTAGAATTTCAGTGGTTGGCCACACCACATTTCAATACTCAGCCGCAGGTGGCCAGTGGCTACTGTATCAGACAATGCAGATACAGAACATTTCCAACATCGCAGAGAATTCTATTAGTGCTGCTCTAAAACATAGGTCACCAAATTTCTGCCATACCTGGCCCACTGCCTGTTTTTATAAATAAAGTTTTATTGTGTCACAGCCATGCTTATTTGTTTACATACTGCCTATCGCTCCTTTTGGCAGAAAGTTCTACTAGACGGCACTGCTCTAGAGCAGAGGTTAGCAAATTCCACCCAAGGGCCAAATCTGGACCACTGCCTATTTTTATAAATAAATTTTATTGAAACCCAAATCCATGTATTTATTCACGTATTGCCTACAGCCACTCTGACCTATAGCAGCAGAGGTGAGTGATTGTAAGAAGATCATCTGGCCCGCAAAGCTTAAAATATTTACTGTCTTGCCCTTTATAGAAAAAAGTTTGCCAACCCTTCCTTTAGAGAAACTCTTACAACACAATTTGACAATTACTGATCTAAAACTCATTCTCAAAGTGTGGTTTCTGGACCAATCGCATCAGCTGCACCTGGGAACACATTAGAAATACAAGTTCTCACGTCCCACCCCAGACCTGCTGAATCAGAAATGCTGGCGGTGAGGCCTGGGCTCTCCTTTCACCAGCCTTCCAGGTGATTCTGATGCATGTTCAAGTTGAAACCCGCTGTTCTAAAACACTCATGGAGGAAACCAACAAGTGACTGCTACAGTGACGGTGCGAATGGGCTCCCGTGGATAACAGAAGAGTTTGGAAAGATGCCAAGAGAGTGATAGCCCATCTGCTGCCTGGTCCATCAGCAGCAAAACCTTTGACGACCCTTCCACAGAGGCCGTGCCAACCAGGGGCGGATCCTGTACCAGCCGCCGTGCAGAGCTCAGGCCCACTGCAGTGGGCCCCGCCGTCCCACGGAGCTGTCAGCACATTTGGAGCTGCCTCCACGCGTGAATTCATGGACCAGCTGTCTCTTTTAATCTGGTTGCAAGATGAAACCATTAATAGATGTCAGACACATTGGCAATGATCTCTTCATTAATAATTTCCTCCTTTCTGAGGAAAAAGAAATTAGTAACAAGCAACCATCAATAATTCAAAAATACAAGTTAACCTTTCTATTAGCAGAGCGACTGTGCACACACCGCAGATGCTTACAGAGCCAGTACTTCTGGCTTGAGTAATGTTTTGATGGCAGGAATATTAATATGCATTAATGCTATCTGTCAAGATGTGCAAATATAAATAACCCAAATGCAACTTAGAAATCATAAGTATTTTCAAGTTTAACCTCATGATCCAACCATTTTTTTCTGTTAAAAAAAGAAAAAGGATATATTATCCAATAATATCGCTTCATTCAAAAGCAGGACTTCACAATGGAATCCATTTCCAGATTGAGGTCCTCGTGG